GTGGTTTTGAGGCACTAGTTTTGTTGGATCAGGTGTGACTAATTTTTGTTGGTGACGATGGCGGTGGATCGCCTCACCAACCCCTTTCAGATCCCTGGGAGGCGCTACAAATCTCTGGTAGTTGTGGAGTAATATGGGGTGTGTTTTGTTGATGGTAGTGGTGCTGGCCGTGGCGATAAGGTTGCAACGGCAATTGTGGTTTCGATTTTGGGCGACGTGGCATGAGTGTCGATGCTGTTACTTGTAGTACATGTGATTCTGGTGAGGTGGTGTACGTTTGGTTGTCGATGTTGGGAATGGTGGTGAGTGACCAAATCTATCTTTGTTGTGATTGCCCGTGACCAGATTTGTGTTAACTATGATCGTATGTGACTTGGTTACATATAATCACAAATTAGACTAACATGGTCACGGACATTCACACCAAAGACAGATTTGGTCATGAACACATAAGGTTACAGTTCATACGTTACGGGTCACAATTCAACGTTAAGGTCATAGTTCACCGATCATAGGTTTGAGTTCACAAGTCACAATCATATCATATAAGTCACAAATCAGTATAAACAGGTCACGGATCAATATTAACAAGTCGCATATCGTTTTGTTGAAGTCGAGATCAAATTTATAGGTCACACTTTATGTTTCGAGTCACGGGTAACAAATCACAGGTTAAAAATCATGTTTTATATGCCACAGTATACACAAATCACATGCTATTGCCCAAAAAAAGAAAAAAAAAAGTCTTGTGAATTTAATATATCTAGTTACAAAATATTTTTTTGATTAATTATTTCATAACTAAAATTTTAATGGTATTTGATTTTTGAAATATATTTGATTTTTGAAATTTCAAACTTTATTTTCTTAATTTTGAAATTGATCATATGCATATTCATTCCACCCTGATTATGTTACAGATTCAATAGAACCGGTCACAAATCATAATGTGCATAGGTCACAGATCTAATGAAATTGGTCATAAGTCATTGCCAAAAAAGAAGAAAAAAAGAAAAAAGATAGTCGTCGGAAAGATGAGCGGTCACCGGAATAGTCGTCGGAAGGTGACTGCTCACTTTTCCGGTGACTACCTTTTTTCGTCGAAAGGCGAGCGGTCACCGGAACAGTCATTGGGAAGTCGTCGGAATATTCGCTGAAGAGGTTGCCGGAATCGCCGTTGGAGACATTGTCAGAATTTCGCTGGAATCGTCGTCGGAAAAGTCACCAGAGGTGGATGGGGTGGAGAGAGAGATAATGATTTGATGTGATGGGTGGGTGGTTGGAGGTAAGGTAGGGTGGGAAAAATAGATTAATTATATTATATTATAATTAAATATTTAATAAATTTAATTATCACCTTATTTTTGAAAGATTTTTAGAAGTTTGTTAATTTTGAAATGTCATTTTTAGATGGAGAATTTATATGGTGTTCCCTTATATAAAATATAACCCGTAAGGTGTAAACCAGCCCAATTGATCACTTAACATATTTGAGCTTAATCACAGTATCATTATAAGTCATACATCTAACCCGTAAAATTTATAATCAAATGGGAAGCCCATATTTATAATTATTCCAACATATACACCTTTGGTGACAAAAATATCTATATTAGTAGCAAATGCATTACGCATGTATTATTAATAATTTATAAGCATCAATGTTGTAAAGGGTTAAACATTCATAAACTTTATTAAACAACTTCGACTTTAATCAGAAACGGGCTTAAAATCTACCCATACTTATGACTTATCTATTTGTAGTAAAACAGAGTTTGAGGGTTCTGCACAAGTTAACAACTGTGTTTTATCGAGAGAGATTCAGATGATATGAGATGAGTTAATCTTTAGATCATAAAAATTAATTTGATTTTAATAGCAGTAAAATTATTATTGTTGGATTCAGCCTCAATTTGGTTCCCATTCTCTTTCTTTTTTTTCCTATCTTATTTGCAACCACACAATTTTATATAAAATATTATTACATGTAAATAAAAAAAAAAATTCATTCTTTTTCAACCACACATTATTAAAAAAAAAAAACACTATTTCAAACATTAAAATTTGGAAAAAAAAAATGAAGGCCAAATGGGGCTTAGTATTCATTCATCTCGTTTAAGGAGATTTTTTTGAATTATTCAAGATCCAGGATTCCATGATACTTGTGATTCTGTCAATTTTTGCTCGAGTATATGAGTTTGTTTCATTTCAAAGCACTGATTTCTCGTAACAAAGTTGGTTTTTAAGACTTAGTAGAACATGGTGGGAAACACACCCACATTTTGGTGCCTTAACATGGTCTCATCTAGTTTTGACAAATTTGATAACTAAGTTTTAACCACACGTTGAATAGAAGCACGACTTTTTAATTACAAATTCCATCAACTTACATCAAAATCTACTATAAATCTTCTTTTTATCTAAGCCATATTCAAGTAAAACAATCAATTACATATTCAGGGCAGTTTTAAAATCAACAAAATTCCAAATAATTTTTATGAAAGCTATTTGAACAGGGAAATAGAAACAATGATAGTTGATCTTCCAAAAGGTAAACTTTCTTGCTTAAGTTCTTGTGACAACCTTTCCTGGAGATTCGCGAGTGGACAAAGAAGGGAAAAATAGAAGGGAAAAAAGAAAAACGAATCAAGTGCCAACAATGGGAGAATTTTTTTGTTTTGAGTAAAAATATGGTTCAATTTATTTTTTGGGCTTCTACAAGATTTCTATTTCTTTTATATGCCTGTGGAAGTTTATCGATGTATCTTTCATGTGTCGTGGCTTTAGAATGAGATTTTGAGTTTACTCTAAGAATGTGTTTGATTAGCTTTATTTTTCATGGAAATGACATTTTTCCATCAAAATCCCTATTTTTTGGAGTGTTTGATAGACAATTTTTTCCACCGAATGTATTTTCCAACTTTTGGTCACGTGATTATATTTTCATCAAAAATAAAGAAAATATTTTCTTTAGGGAGCATGATTTTTATTTTTCAGGTAATTCACTCTTTCTTTCTCTCTCTTATCTATCCACTCTCTTTCATCTACTCATCAATAAAAAATGAACAAGTATAATATTTTTTAGTTTGAAAATTAACTCAATTTTAACTCGTTTAATTATTAATTTTCATACCTAGAATTTATTTTCTTTTCAAGCAAATTTTATGTTTGCAATCAAATGCACCCTAAGATACTTGTGTCGACATGATCCTTACAATATTAGAATGACGAAGTCTAATTGACTGACTCCTAATCGGTTTCGTTCAACAAGGTCAACTTGTCAATTCCTTATACAAAAAAATATAATATATGACATGAATTCTGAGCTTTCTCTTATCGATAGGCATCAATTCAAGTTGCTGGGTGACCTAACTAAGAGTATTAAGGGAATATAATCCCACATCGGTAAAATACTGAAACAATGACCAATATATAAAGGATTGGGACACTCCTCTTAATAAGGTTGACGTTATTAAGATAGACCACAACTCTTAACATGGTATCAGAGTCCATTAAGCTCCAACGAGCGATTCGATCTGATTAAGTCTCTAAAAATGAGTACACGAATTTCAAGATTGGTCTGCTCAAACGAGCCACCATCTTGTGGGGGCATGTTAAGGGAATATAATCCCACATCGGTAAAATACCGAAATAATGACCAATATATAAAGGATTGGGACACTCCTCTTAATAAGGTTGACGTTATTAAGATAGACCACAACTCTTAACATGGTATCAGAGTCCATTAAGCTCCAACGAGCGATTCGATCTGATTAAGTCTCTAAAAATGAGTACACGAATTTCAAGATTGGTCTGCTCAAACGAGCCACCATCTTGTGGGGGCATGTTAAGGGAATATAATCCCACATCGGTAAAATACCGAAACAATGACCAATATATAAAGGATTGAGACACTCCTTTTAATAAGGTTGACCTTATTAAAATGGACCAACTCTTAACAAAGAGTTCCTTCAGACTTGAGAGAATTTTTATCATGATAATAAATGCACACAAAATTTGTTCCCGTGCACGTGGTTTTTTCCTTTTCCTCGTTGTGGGAATGGTCGAGGTCCACTTTGAGTGGACAACTTTTTTGCAAATTTGTGACCGCACCATGTTGAAAAGTTGAAACTTTTAAAAGGGGCCACAATTTGTTTTTTAATATTATGCTACCAGCTATTCATTTTTCTTCGTAGGTTAAACATGTGTATATATGGGTGGCAAGAATAAAACTTGAGAACTTATTCAGTTTTTGATATCACGTTGAATCACTACGCACCTATTTGGCTCCATTTTAATTTTAATACATTTTTATCTTTTTTCTTTGTAATTACATATTTTTCAATAAAATAATATTACACGTAAATCTAAAATTTTTCATTCTTTTTAACCACACTTTCTTCACAAATTACTATCAGAAAGAAATTCCGTAATCTTACAATTGTAAGTTATTCTGCATTATTTTAATGAAATCTCTCCCAAGCATCAAATGAAAAGGATGGACAGGGACAGAAAGAAAAAAGCTGCTGAACAAGTGATGGGTTTTAAAAAAAGTAGGCAAAAGGACTCGTTGTCTACTAGGAAAGCCATGAATACTAGGCTAGAAAGAAATTTCATCTGGCCACTTGTGTAACAAGACAAACACATTACACAACATTTTCTGTTTTCTACTTACCCAAAAAACTTTTTCCAGACTTTTTGACTCCTTTCTGTCTTTGCCACCAATAAGCATTCAATAAACTACAATAAAACAAGCTATTCCTTGCCCTCCAAGTCTGTGCTTTGTTTCCTTTTTTTTCTCATGAAGTAATATATATGTTGAATTATCTCGTCTAAAAGTTGATAGGTTAGATATAATACAATCTTATCTTAAGATGTGCGCTAAATTTTAACGCACGTGGGTGGGGGCCAACATTTGAACGTGTGAACTTTATTTCATCTTATACCATATTATGCCACTCGTTTAAAGGTTATTGATATGACTTTCATTTAATATATATATTTCCATTCAATGGTCTTCGAGCACCATAAGTTCCATAACAATGACATTTTCAAGAAGTGAGAGCTGTGAGAATAGATGCAAAGAGATTCATAAATATTTGGGGGATGTAGTTTTTCTAATTCAAAATCTGGCTAGTCTTAGCCAAACTGAATGCAAGAAAATCAGAGACACATACACAGAAATTTATGGGGAGGATCTTGTTCAAATTCTTGGAAGCACAGCAATGGCTGGCCAAGAATCTTCAAGGACATGTGCAGCCTTGTCCAGTCTGATGCTTAATCCACACGAACGCGATGCAGAGGTGGCAAGAGAGGCGCTTAATGAGCCAATCAATTTTAAAGCTCTAGTCGAAATATTTACATGCCGAAAATCAAGCCATGTTCTTCTCTTACTTCAAGCTTATCGAACAAGATTTAGGAGGCAATTGGATCAAGATATTGCAAAGATTGAGCCTCCCAACCCATATCAGAAGGTAAGCATGTCATCTCGTTTATATGGTTATTTGGATACATTGACGTCTTGTTCTGTAACTTAGATGCTAAACACTTGGTAGAATTGAGCAAAAAAATTTGGAGTCAATGCTACGTTTTTAGGGATTAAGCCCCAATCACCATCCCCAAAGCAGTAATGAAAAGAAAGAAAAATGAAGATACACAGACTCATAGCTGCAGAATTTTTACGATGATCAAGAAGACTGCAATGTTTTTCTCACAAATCTTTGTTTAATCACACAATGAAAAATGCCCCTCTGTTACATCGTGCACACACAGAGAAAACAGCTTTCCCTTGTTCTTTTATATAACTTAGAAAATTAGGATGACTTAATAGTTCGTATCGATAGAATTGATCTCCTTCTCACAATGGGTAGGAGTTAAGTTGCCCACCCACAAACTTCTTTTTTCTTTTTTCTTTTTTTAATCAAAGAAAGCGGCTTGAGCCATCGATGTTGCGACGTGGTGGGCAAAGTGTATGCTGCCCACTGTGGGCAGGAGATTGGGTCTGTTCATATCAATACATGAATGTTCAATATATACTTATAATAGGTTGATATGCGGTTCAACAATTTAATTAGGCTGAACAAAGTTCAAACATATGTACCCAACATGCCCGGAAAAATTGGGGATTTTTCCTCATATAATCAGGAAATGATGAATGGCCTTTTGTTGACAGATATTGATGGCATTGTCTGCATCACACAAAGCACACAGTGCTGATATTAGCCAACACATTGCCAAGTGCGACGCAAAGAGACTTCATCAAACAGGAGAGGGAAAATCAGGAGCCATTGATGAATCTGTAGTTATAGAGATCCTCAGTAAAAGGAGCATTGCACAGCTCAAACTAACATTTTCCACCTATAACCATATTTATGGGCACACTTATACAAGTGTAAGGCATTGTATATGAAGTGATTTACACGTTTAATTTCCCAGTACTAATTGAAATTAGAGTTGCCAAACTCTTTTGAAAATTCTAACATTATTTTTTTGTCGACGTATCCCTTTATTTATTTTCAGTTTCTGAAAAATGAAAAGTTTGGAGAGTTTGAAGATGCAGTGAGAATGGTGACGAAATTCATATGCAATCCGCCAAAGCAGTATGCCAAGGTACTTTTTAATTCACTTCCTCTGTTGTAGACCCTTGTTAACTCTCTTGAAATAACGTCATTAGAAGTGATTGTTGATCAATGTAGGACCTTTCCCAAATATGGCCTACATAGTGTAGAATTAACGAAATCCATCTTTAGGAGATTTGTTATGGCATACCTCGCACTTTTTTTTTTTCTTCCTCTTTTGACAATAGAGAAATATGGTAATTGTGAGATAGAGCTAGCCTATTCATTACAGGAATCAATGCTGCGGACCGAATATTTTTTTCTTTCAAGGTTATGGAAGTCTAGTCAAGTCTTTTGGCAAAGTAGCATTTGTAAAGCTTACAGATAGAGACGCTCTTCCAACCCCCTCCACTTATTTTTCACTATAGACGAGGATTTAGCAGTCCTTTCTTTCATTTTCTGTTCCTTTCAGGCCTTGTGGTGTGAGACAAAGTGAAAAAGAGTCTTCTTTTTACATAATGTTTAATGGTCACATTAATTGAAGTATTTTAACGATGTTGTCATCTCCGTCTTCTTTTGTGGGAGTTGGTTTGACTCGACCCATTGATATAATCATGGATCGGTTCCATTTGATCCGATTTGATATCGATATGACCTTAATAAGTTTTGATTTTGTCCAAGGATGTTTGAGAAATGTGTATATATATATATATATATAGAAGTAAGGTCACTGTTGACCATGTCCATTTTAGAACATTTGCCTGATAAAGTAATCTATTAAATTATTTGTCATGTCTCTTTTGTAGACGTTGTATACATGCTTAAAGGGCACGACAACTGATAAGGGAGCTTTGATACGAATTATGATGAGCCGAGCCGAGGTCGACATGGACGAAATTCAGAAAGTCTTCAAGAAGAAATATGGTATGGAATTGAAAAGTGCCATATACGATAGTGTTCCAGCTGGGAATCACAGAGACCTTCTTGTTGCATTGGCCACAAAGGTCTCCCTAGATTGATGAATAAAGAGCACATCTTCAAAATTTCTAGCCTTAAAATTAATATAGCCTGGTAAAATTCTATATTTGATTCATAGTGATCCATCAAGACCAACATGGAATCTCAATCTTTGAACTCGTGGCAATAGAAACATTATTAGACTAAAAGTAAAGAAGTTTTATATAACTAAAATATTAAGAGTTTGAAATGTGTTATACATGTATTCTTTTTTGACTTTATGTTCAGTTCAAATAGGCCTCGGTCACTACCGACAACTAAGGGTTGCGAACGAGCCGAGCGCTCGTCGGCTCGTGGGCTCATATTAGCCCATGGGCCATTCGGGCTCGTATTGAGACGTGACATAGATCAAGTCGAGCTCAAATTTTTTTTCATGATCAACTCATGGGTAAAGCTTATGAGCTGGTTAGTCTTGAGCTCGTGGATCAACCCGTTTTTTGATTTATTTTTTTCGCTTATTTTATTAATTTCTTAAAAAAAGAGGGGGGATCATCTCGAGCTCGCTCGTGTCCACACAAATCAAAGGGTCGATTTGAGCATTCTTTATGGACCTGCGTCGATCTCATGTGTCTAAGGGCTTAATTGGCTCAATTCAATCCATTGCCATCCTTAAATACAGCGATTCCACATGTTAAATCAACTGAAAATGAATTATCCAAATGTCAAAAAAAAAAAAACACCGAGCAAAACAAATTCCTTGTCCCAATTAACAAAGAATAATGGGTAACATTCAAAATGGTGTTTGCATATTGTCCATGCCAACAGGAAAACCACACGTGAAAACTTTTTTCAATGGAATCAAGCAAACTCAAATCTTGAAAACCAAAAAGAATTCATTTTCTTTGTCACCACACGTGGAAACTGTTTTTAATGGAATCAAGCAATCTCAAAGTCTTAATACTTGAAAACCAAAAAGAATTCATTTTCTTTGTGAGGAGGAAACGAAAAGGAACCTCTTTAGACGTCCTATAAGGTTTCCTCAAATCATTTATTGGACATATAAATAACTTAAGGAGAAACATTTCTTCATCAATTACCCCAAAAACTTTTCAATAGCAACCAAGTTTAAGGTATGGAAGCCAAACCTGCAGACACATTTATTGAAGAATTTGAGCCTTTTTGTAAGTGGGAACGTAAGGACGATCGTGACGTTCTCGAAATCCATCTCCGAGGTATTGTCTTCTGCTTTTCATTTTCCCGTCTTTCTAATCTTCTGCAACATATTTGCTAAGCAATGCCAAATAGGATTGAACTTGACCTTAAATCTTTCTTAGTTCGAATAGAAATATGATTAAGTGCATATTTGGTATTGATTTTTCATCTCAAAAAATTAAGCCGTCATTTTTTACTTCTTCTCTCACATGTAGGACTCACTTTTCTCTTCAACAATCAAAAATTCTATTCTCAAAATCACTACCGAAGAAGCCCTAAAATTCTTGACCGAATGTTGTTTTTTTACTAATTTTCACAACTTCTATCCAAGTGTCTACTTTTGTAATTTCAAATTGATAGCTCTAATTCGGATTTTAGACAACTTGCTTATTTTGATAAAAGTTGATGAAATTTGTTGTTAAAATGTTATAGATCTTATAAAATGTGTAACTAAAATTAATTGACTTTGACTTACATTACCCAGCAGAGGCCTTATGTCTATGCCATTAAAAGATTGTGATGATTTCAAGAAAGAATATAAATGCAAGAAAAATAATTCTAGTTTGTAATCTATAATTAATAAAGTCCTATTAGTTAAAAGATCCTAATCGATAATAATCAACATCTAGGTCAATTTAGGGTGAGTATGAGCCCCTTTTGATTTTGAAAAATGTATTATGGAATGGTAAATTGATGAAAAATGTGTAATTAAAAAAGAAGGAAAAGTTTTTGGTCTACGAGTAATATTATTTTAAAGAAGAATTTGTGGTTAAAAATGGGTACCGTAAAAAAAATAATGTGATAGAATATGAAATAATGAGTGACAAACAGGGGCTTAATCAACATATAAGTTTATTAACAAAGCCCATAACTCTTGTTCAAGAATTCAAGAAGGAACAACTGAAAGTACAAATCAGCAATTTACGGATCCTCAAGATCTCAGGAGAACGTCCGTTAGATGGTTCAAAGAAAAGCAGATTCTACAAAGAAGTTCAAGTTCCAAAAGACTTCGACTCAACTGCAATTCGTGCAAAATTTGTCAATGGCTATCTCTACATTGTAATGCCAAAAAAAACTTCTCTCAGTGAAAAAAGAGAAGAAGCAGAATCTCTTCATGAAGATCAGACCAAAGAACAACCTCAAAATGGAAGTGGTCAAAAGAGCCGTAAACAAGAAACATCTGCACCTGTCGAATCTGCTGAGACTACACCAGCAGTGTCTGAACGGGCAGTTTGGCCAACATTACTAACGCTTGGCGAGGTAGTTGTGAGTCTTGCAGCACTGGTAGGTCTAATTGCTTATGTTGTTTACATGTATAGATTTATGGTTCCTCAAGGTGATGAGTAGTTTTAACTTGTACCTATCTAATATTCTAAGTCATTTGTATGTATTGAAGTTCTAGTGAACAATAAATGACAAAAACTTGTTTTTATTCTTAGAAAATCCACAAACTTAAGAGTGTGTTGAAGGGGCTGTGGCTCCTGCAGGGTCGCTGGTCGTCCGGCCATGTTCTTTTTCGAATTTTTTAAAAACAAAAGATTAACGAACTGGATATTTCTTTTCAATTAAGAAGTGTTAAAAGGAGCATAGCCCGACCTAGTTGACGTATATACAAACTCTATATTTAAATATTTAAAGTGTTGTTGGCGGTAAAGTGTGCAGTTTTTAAAAACTGTCTAATCATGCTACGACACGTGACACAATGTCAAATTTGATGTCAAATAAAATGTACAAGTAACATGATTGTTTTCATAATAGTAAGTGCAAGGGCGAAACCAAAGGGACCAAAAATTACTTTTCTAATAGACTAATATATAGAAAAAAAAACTCCTTAAAAAAAATAACAATAATAAATAGGCTTGGAGGGCCACCTCCGCCCCGGAGTACAGGTTAAAATTAAATTAAAAACAAAAAGTTTCGATAAATTCACAATCAGTAAATTACATTAGATGAGAGGTCATGACACTTGGAGAACTTCCATCGAATTTGTTTCTCAGGCCATGAAAGTGACTATAAGCACGAGCTTCAATTATTTTATTCATGTAGAATTATCCTTACAATTTATCAGTCACTCAATTTAATTTTATTATAAAAAGTTCCCCTGATGAGGCTGTATAAATTGACTAGAATTGACGTGAAATGAACAAGACTTGTGTTATTCAATTGTCGATTGTTTTAATCTACTAATATATTAGCTTTGTGAGGAATGAATTTGCACCATACCATAGTATAGAGAAATTAGTCACAAAAATGTTTCGAGAAATGGGAATAGCTTGTGTTATCACACTGTAATTTTGCAATGTTAGCGTTCGTAGTAAATTTATATTGGAGCATAATTTAGAACTTTATGATGGATTTATAAGAAACTCTATTGAAGTATATTGTCTATTAGGGGTTGCTTTCTATTAAAGATATTGATTGCCAGTAAGTTGCTAATTACCTAGCTAATATATTTTAATAGTAATTTGATATATTTGTCCAAACTAGAAAAAATATGCGAAATAAAGAATAAATGATAAAAAAAATCCAATGTCGTCGTCTTCAGGATTTGCTTCGGTTTTCATCCAGTTTTTTCCATCAAGTTGACCGCAAAAATATTTAGAACCTTTTTGTCAATAGCTTTTCCATCTCGTTTCTACCTATCAATCTTACTACATGTACATTTTGATTTACATCCTGACATACCAAAAAAAATGATCGTGAATCTTTGGTAATTTTCTATCCCATTACTACTTATATATCTGCAAAGAACTAGTTTATTATGGTGAGTTTCGTTTAAAAATTTTGTTTCCTTGTGAAATTGGGTTTTCCTTTGAGATTAATACTTCAAGGTTGATCACAGAGTCAGCCTGGGCCAAAGCCACTAAGGCAATGGCCTAGGGCCTCCAAAGTTGAGATCCTCCAAAAAAAAAAAATAATAATAAAAATAAATAAAGAAATAGTGTACTTGTTTAGCTTAATTATTTTTATATTTAAAATCTTTCCATAATTCCTTTGATACAATCTCTTCATTTAAATATAAAAATGCTATTTATTTAAATATTTAAAGTTTCTACGCTTGTTAAAAAAATAATGTATATGGGCTTCATAATAAATAGTCACTTATAACCTCAAAGTTCTCAAGACCAACCTTGCTTGAGCAAATCAACTTTTTTATGATGTGTTGTAGTGTTAAATTTGAAATCCTATTTGGTGTGGATTAAAATCAAATTTTTAATAAATTTTGATAACGTATGTGAGTGAAGAGTTATGGGTTCCATAAATTATGTGATTAAAATTATTGTTAATTTGATTTGAAATTTTCTAATTTTAAAAAGTACACACAAGCAAATAAATCATTTATGCAAATAAGCGGGTCGAGTTTGTCACTTCAATTTTTGGATTTTAGTGTGATGACAAGGCTAAACATAGATTATTTTATTTGTCTAATGACCAACATTAAATTTAGCACATATAAAAATATAATTAAAATTCGGGGTATTACAACAATTATCTTGTAAAACAATCCGTGACCATTTTTTGCGTTAAGTTGTTATTGGACGTGACCAATTCCATAATAGTAGTGGCAGTTTTCTACCAAGTTTGTCTTAATTTATGATTGTAACATGTTCTATGTTAATAGTGACTCTTTGTGACCATTTTTTGCATTAATTGTGACTCTCTGTAACCAAGTCTGCTTTAATTGTATTTGAATAGGTCCGAGTTAGTTGAAGTGTTTGCGACCTTTAATGCAATGAATATGACCTACTGTTATCTGTCTGTGAGTAAAATTTTTGCCAAAAAAATCATTTTGTAGGAGGAAGCCGGCTAAGAAAAATAGTAAAAAATTGCACATGCCATCTAATAGATATTCTATCTGTTTCGCGCGGGTTAGTCGCTAACAATTAAAAAGGAATCAGACGATTGTGTAAGGAACAAACATCTTGAGACAAAGTCCCAAAAAAGAGGTGTTTTTATTGGCGATGACTTTACAATTGGAAAATAAAACAGAATGCCTCCATGGGGCGCAAGCACACGAGTTACTGAAAAGAAGTGTTTAAAACTAAACTAAGAAATTGAAAGTTACATATTCTCTGTTTAAGAGTGTTTGATTAGGGGTCTTTTGCTCTATGTCTTTTTTTTCCTTTTATACTCCCTAGATGATCTCTTTGTGATCAACCGCTTAAAAACTGATTGATCGCTCTATAACTGCTCACTTTCTTCATAGTGGCCAACTTGTCATGGAACTGTCTTCTCTAACTGCTGCCATTACTTTTTGTCGTTCAACCGTCTTCAATTGAATTTCTTGAATCATGAAACGTAATAGGGTTACTCAATAACTGCTTCATTAACCGCACTTTTGCGTAACCATAACATCTTATGTTTGCTAAGTCCTGGGCGACTCGAAGGTTTGGGCGAGAACAGGGTCACAGCTCTGAGCGACTACATGGCAATCCATTCGCCCAAATCTTGGGCGACTTGCAAGCTTGGACGATGGTATTACTGTGTTCATGGGCTTCCCTATTTGGGCCTTTATCCTGAATATCCTAATTGGGCCGTTCTTTGGGCTATCTGATTTGGGATCTTCCAATTGGGTTTCATTCATTGGGCTATTCGATTTGTACTGAACTTTTTGTGTGTCAACAATTATCCCCCAATATGGCAGAATTAATACCAATTATTAATTTTTGCCATATTCACTTTGTGTTTCCCAGCAACATTCGAAATTCCCAAGAATTTCAATCATTGTTTTCTTCCATAGCCTGAAAAGGTGCGACGTTTGCAAACTCTTATAACCCCCAAATACACGTCATTTCATTGCACCACTAAATCACGCCTCATTGTTTCGCGCTTCTCTCTCGCAATATTACTGCTCATCTTCTTGCTTCTCTGCTACGTTTTTTAAGCAAACTTCGACAAACTCTATTTCGTTCCTAATGGCTGCTTCACAATCCCAGTCTGGTGACTCCTTCAGTTTCGAAGACTTCCAGAAACTCCTCTCTCGGCCATATATAACTCCGAACTTCCTTACACCAACCAATATCGAACTCAATGAGTTCTATCTAGGTCCTTCATTCAACAAAGCCGAGGCCATCAAGCAAGCGACGGTCGGTCAACTATTCCCTTGTACTCAAGGCCCTCCATTTCTAAACTCTTTGCTACTGAGGCCGCTTCGCGAAAGAGGTATCTGTACTTGGCCTAAATCTGATGTCGTTTTCCATAGATGGCATGGTCTCCATGTGGACCATGGTCCTACCAAGGCAATTTTTGATAGTGCTAGGATTTCTGATTTGTTAGAAATCTCTCTTCAATCCCCTATTTTTGACTCAGCACTTTTTCCAATCACTTTAAGTTTTTAGTCTTCTGAATATAATACTTTTGTTTTCCCTCTTGCTCCCATGTCCATTACCTTAAGGGATGTTGGGGCCTTAGTAAATCTGCCACCTTTGGGCGATACCATTTTTCCTGGTATTTTGATTTCTGGTGTCGCCCCAAAATTTTTGCCATATTCACTTTGTGTTTCCCAGCAACATTCGAAATTCCCAAGAATTTCAATCATTGTTTTCTTCCATAGCCTGAAAAGGTGCGACGTTTGCAAACTCTTATAACCCCCAAATACACGCCATTTCATTGCACCACTAAATCACGCCTCATTGTTTCGCGCTTCTCTCTCGCAATATTACTGCTCATCTTCTTGCTTCTCTGCTACGTTTTTTAAGCAAACTTCGACAAACTCTATTTCGTTCCTAATGGCTGCTTCACAATCCCAGTCTGGTGACTCCTTCAGTTTCGAAGACTTCCAGAAACTCCTCTCTCGGCCATATATAACTCCGAACTTTCTTGCACCAGCCAATATCGAACTCAATGAGTTCTATCTAGGTCCTTCATTCAACAAAGTCGAGGCCATCAAGCAAGCGACGGTCGGTGAACTATTCCCTTGTACTCAAGGCCCTCCGTTTCTAAACTCCTCGCTACTGAGGCCGCTTCGCGAAAGAGGTATCTGTACTTGGCCTAAATTTGATGTCGTTTTCCGTAGATGGCATGGTCTCCTTGTGGACCATGGTCCTACTAAGGCAATTTTTGATAGTGCTAGGATTTCTGATTTGTTAGAAATCTCTCTTCAGCCCCCTATTTTTGACCCAGCACTTTTTCCAATCACTTTAAGTTTTTAGTCTTCTGAATATAATACTTTTGTTTTCCCTCTTGGTCCCATGTCCATTACCTTAAGGGATGTTGGGGCCCTAGTAAATCTGCCACCTTTAGGCGATACCATTTTTCCCGGTATTTTGATTTCTGGTGTCGCCCCAAAATTTGATAGAAAACTTACCAAGTCTTATTCAAGCCTGCAAACCTGTCATAACCACTCAAGCGCTGAGCGTTCCCATGCTGAGCATGTGGCCTTTCTTCAGATTTGGCTTTGTAAATACAATTTGTGTGTGCCAAGCATGAAGCCCTCCA